CCCCAAAACCCCAAAACCCCATAAAGTGAATTAGACTTGAGTTGAAGGATAAAATTTATTACTAAAATTAAAAGAGTATTAAATTAAATTTTGAAAAAAATGAGATCAGCTGCAAATAATAAAAAACATTATTCCCCAGTTTCCCTATCTATATCATCTTCTGCTACATCCTAAGAGGAGGAAAAATATGGGTAAAGCAGAACTAAATATCTTTAAGATGCTTAAGATGTGTTGGAGTTTCTAATTGAAAAAAGTAATCACATATTATGAATAACTTATCAATAGAGATTATATAAAATTAAGACTTTAGAAATTAAACCAAATTGAAAGGCAATAGAGATAATGATTAGATTAGTTAAAGTGAAAAGAGCAGCTAGGATTCAGATGATTCCATCAATAGCAAATAAAGAATTGAAAGCGAGGATTTCTATCAATCCAGTGATCAGTCAGATTTAGAGAAACAAATTGAGAAGGTTAATGATATAATCATGAAGTCAAATAACAGCAAGAAGGATCCCGAAGCAGATTGATCTACTGAATCATTAGGATTTAAGTGAGTTGCTTTAAATTGGATTTGAAAGACTTGAATAAGATACTAAGACAGAATTATTGAAGTAGTACTAATTCTCAAATACACAATAGGTAAATGAAATATTAGCAGGCAAACTGTTCAATTTTCAAAACTAAGTTAAGCTTTTTCATAGCTTATATAAGCAAGGATACTTCACCAATGTAAGTAAAATTTGTGTTATAAATTTTTTATGAATAGGTACATTAGAAAAAAGTGAGACTTTAAAAGGATTTAAATCTGATCTAAAAACGAAATTTACTTTAAGCTCAACTTGATGACATAGAAGCAACAATATAGAACATGCAATAAACTGAATAAATCTTTACAACACTATTTTTATCTGATGATCAGTCGACTTAAGATTGTAAACCTCTATCTCAAGATTTTTATATGGAACAATTGAGAGGGTTTGATGAATTTAGAACTAGCTAAGACTCAGCAAGAACTCTTAGTTACATATCTGAAATGGAGACTGATAATCCTAAGTCAGAATATAATAAACAGAGAAGAAGGGACATCAAAGAGCTTTCAAAGTAGTTTGCGAAAGATGCTATCAAAAGACACAATAAGAAATAACTTCAAGCCTTTACTTTTACCACTGAGAGCAGATTGCCAGGTAGAATGAGACCGAGTTTGAATGAGTTGGTAGATGAGGACTTTGACATTAGTTGGGTTCATACTAGTGAGAGGTTCAAAAACTTTAATCGAACCAAACAGATTTTGACTATACCACCTACAAAGGCTGAAGATATAGATGATTACAGGAAATAGGAAATTGAGAGGTATAAATACCCACTTGATCCATGGATGTACAGCATAACTGATGGAAGAAAGGCAATAGTTGGTCCAGTATTTAGAAAAAGAGCTTAAATCTAAAATAGACCAAGAGAACACTTATTCTTAAAGAGTGAGAGACCTCCAGGAGTAAACATTCTAGCATTGGTAAGAGACGCTGCAGCTAGGTTACCAGATCAGGTTGGCACAAGGACAGACGTTGCTGAATTAGTTAAGGATTCTCAATTTCTGGCTGAAGGTCTAACAGATTATTATGTAAGAACATTTTGCTAATTGATATCCATAGATTTCTCAAACAGTAAGTGGTGGTCTAGATAGACTATCAGCAGAAGAAGATCCTAGTGTCAGATTCGATCCTTCTAGTAAGTTATGGATATACTTGCATGGCAAAAGAACTTTGGATTCATCTAAATGGGCTACTGGTATTAATGAATGTACTAAAAAAGCCTTTGAAAAGAATAATGAAAAATTCTTCACCTCAGGATTTTTGGTTGGCCCAACTAAATCAGCAGGAGGAAATTCCAATGAAACAACCGATATAGGCACTTCCCACGGTGCCAATTTATCCTAAGATTAAGATTGATGAATTCATATTACAAACATTTTACTTAAAGTAGTTAAACTTAAGCCACTTATATTAATTTTGTTTAATCATTAATTTCATCAATTCCCAAATCATAACTTATCTTAATCATATTATATCATCTAATAGTCTGAAGCAGTTTTAAGTTTTACTCTTCCTTGTGGAGACTCAGTGAATTATTAAGTACCTTAGTATTATTATTTAATATAATAAGATAAGTTAAGATGGAATCATAGCAGCAAACTCAAATTTAGGGCCAAGCTCAGACACAGTAAAGACCTCGCTCATACCAACTGTAATTGATAGGTCTCCCAGCCACCGCTACCAATGAAAAAATCTCTAATTTATTGAAAGCCGAGAACATTAATCACGTATCTGTAAATATTCCAGCTCAGAGTGATAATGGAACTGGCACCATCTACTTCAATTCAAGGCCTGATTGTAAGGCTTATATTATGATGATATCCCATATAGTCGTAAAAGCTGCAAGTGCTATAAGGAGTCTTAAACTTGATGACAAAAATCTTAATTTTAGAGTTCAAACCTACGGAGACTACAATCCCTCCACCAGTGTTTTTGTCAAGTTCTTCTCTGATCTAGTATCTGATTAAGATCTCATTCAGGAATTCTCTCAATGCGGACTAGTACTATCACTAATGGTAAATCCAACAATGATCAATTAATTTGTTGTGAATAGATCCTCCAAGATTAATAGACTAAGAAGTCGAGAGGTATTGCTTATGTTGATTTTGACAGCGAAAGCTCAGCTTAAAACGCTATTAAACAAGTATTATTAAACAATCATATTATTGTATTTAGCTTGATGGGAAATAATTGAAGAATCATCAAGGAAGTATTTAAGTGAGACTATTCGAGCAGCCTCAAAAGACTTTTGCTCAAAATTAAGCTATCCAAAACGATAGACAACAGAAAGGTCTTGCTTTCCAAAGAAAATCAAACCTCTTTGTCAAGGGAATTCCCTTTAATGTAGATGAAAACTTCTTGAGAGAACTTTTTGGAAGATACGGTAAATTGAGAAGCGTGATGTTGAAGAGATTCAACATACCCAATCAGCAGGCTCAGCCATTCTTCACTTCAGCTTACTCAATTGCTTATATTGATTACGAAAGAGAAGAAGATGCTCTTAAAGCCATCGACGAGCTTAATCACTACATAATCAATGGCGCTCTCATCTAGGTTGAGATGTACGAGAAGAGCTCACAAAATGCTGCTTTAAGAGACAGCACCTACGTGATTGGAAATGAAAACCTCAGAGCTATTTTCATTAGAAACATCAAGAGAGATGTAAGTAGCAAAATATCATTTATCGCCATTAATCGTATTAAATCATTAATCGAGTCGCTCTATTAGACGTATCTTTAAATTTATTATTAAATAGGTGACTGAGCAAAGACTTAAAGAGATTTGTTCAAAGTTCGGCAATGTTCTCGACTGCTAACTCAAGACCTACGAAGTGGACGGCGAAGTTAGATCTAAGGGTACCGCCCAAGTTATCTTCTCCAAGAAGGAGGAGGCTTCTGAGGCCATCAAGAATCTCTACTATGAGGACGATTTGGGAGACAAGATGGATGTCGACTTCTTCAAACTTAAGGAAGCCAGAATCCAAGAAATGGACAAACAAATGAATCCATTTAAGTAAGTTAATGTTATAATTAAGATAAATAACATTCTTAACAACATATATGTAGCTCTCATGAGTTCCAGAGAATGATGAACAACAATAGAACTCCACAATATAGAATGCAATATCAATAATAGAGACCACAGATTTATAATGCTCAAGACTAGCAGCAAAGGCCACGCCAATAGCCATTTGAGAATGCTTAACAGTATCAGAACGTGAGGACCTCCATGCCTCAGTAGTAAACTCAATATCGTGCAAGACCTAGACAATAAAACCGTGGAAACTAGCAATAGCAGCACTCCTATTAAAAAGTAATAAATTAATTAAATTAAAATTAAAATAGAGAGCCCCAGGTCAATATCCAAGACCAGGCCAACCAATGGGATAATACCAAGGAGGCTTCAATCAGCCACAACCAATGATGCCGATGAATGTAAGAGTATTAATTTCTTAACATATATATAGCAATTCGGAGCTCCATTTTAACAGACTCAGCCAATAATGGGCTTCATACCTCCTCAGAACCAGCAAATGAGATAGTTTGTGCCAACTCAAATGCAATAACAGATCCCTATCCCTCAAGCTTTAGTCCTCTTCAATCTTAATGAATATCAATCAAAGACTACCCTAGCTGAACAAAAGGAGTACATTGGTAACTTGATCTATGACTTTATAGAACAGAGATACCCATAGTAAGTGAAATATCATTCAATTATTCTTTAGAGAAGCACCAAAGATCACAGGAATGATTCTTGACCAGAAGCCAGAGGAACTAATGAAGTATGTCGCCAACAGAGACTTATTCTACAATCAAGTTGATATTGCTAACTAACTTATTCAACAAGAAAAAGCAAAAGCATTATCTCAATAGCAATAATGATGAGCGAGTTTGATAGGCTATTGACCTCTCATTTTGATTATTATAGACAAAGAAGAAAAAAGCAATTGAACGATGATGATGCTTTTGTCTGTAATAAATTTAATTCCAATTCAAATAAACTCTAACATAAACTGCCATTAATTGAAAGTTGGGGTTTTGGGGTTTTGGGGTTTTGGGG